CCTCTGAGGTCGCTCTGCAGACTCCCCAGCGTCTCATTGGCCGACTCCTCGCTGATGTCAGCCACCACCACGGAGGCGCCCTCAGAGGCCAAACGCTGGCACACCGCCCGCCCAATCCCACTGCCTCCACCTGGGTGGGAAGAGAGGAGCATGAAGTCAGAGCAGGAGCAGAGAGGAGGAAACAGCAGCCTGAGACGCTGCTGTCTGAGGCGTCAGGAGCTCAGGATGTTTCTGAAATGAAAACAAAAGTCCCCACAAAAACATCTGGACTAGAGTTAGTCGTGAAAACACGACTGCAGGGCTCTCAGGTCCGCTCAAAGCTTCCTGCTCTGATTAAACATCCACATTTAATAGTTTAGGAGCTGCTGATGTGCTGCCTGCCTGGAAATGAACGTTTCTGATGTTTGTGTTTCCTGTTTTAAAATGAAAGGTTGCGATTTACTACAAATGACTTAAACACGAGGAGCAAAGGACAGGAAACTAACCTGAGCTACGATAAAAAAACATTATCTCCACTAAAACACAATATGAACTCACATTTTCTCCACAGGTGAAATTTATTATGCATCAGATGTTGAGCTGGAGCCTAAATTTTAATCTCTTTATAACCTGCAAGCAGCCTAAACTCTGAATAATTAATTAGTGTGCATTAAAAATAATGTATTGTTATCTTTGGGAATATTTGCTAGAGAAACTGACCGGAAGAAGGAGTGGGCTATATGAACGATCCTTTCCTGTCGTCAGTTTATTCCACGGCAACAATAACGGAGCTGCACAGATGCGTCTAATTACATATGAATCAGCTGCTGCTGAATACTTTGAACAGCTTCACATGATACAAAATAAATCTCCTTAGTCTGAACGTCAGTCTGAAACTTCACAGCTCCTCTGAACTCGCAGAGAAGTTTAACGAAGCGCGAGTTTCCTTCAGCTGCGGAGATAACGGAGAAAACCTCTCCCGGTTTAACGGAGCAAAAACATCTGAGACAAAAAGAAACGGTCGGGTTTATTTCTTTGTGAATGATCTGTAGTAAAACATAAACTAACCGGTGACCAGCGTCAACCTTGAGATGAGCCTTGTGGCAGCCGCCATGACAGTTTGCTGTTGTTGTAGTTTCAGGTTTGTCCATCAGGCGGCGATAAAAACGGTGAAAAAAGGTAAACAGTGTTTAATGTAATGACCAAAACCCAACATCATCAGTGAAAGAATAAAAGCCAATACAGGCATTTTATTTTGAAATCGATACCGGTGTTGGGCCAAAAAGTGACCTTCTACCAAAAATGTTGTGTATGTTTTTATGTGTAACGTCTTTACCTAAAATGTCAAATAGACTTTAGTCAACAGGATTTACACAAAACAAATAAATGCCCTGTTTTTAGGCAACTTTATGACTGTATGATTATTGTTTCTACATTATAATCAATCCAAACTTTTGGAAACTTTTATGTTATATTTGTTGTTATTTCATTCTTAACAAAGAAATTTCCTTCATAACATGTTTCACAGATTATAGTCTAACATGTCATTTACAGCTGTTTAAATACCAGCGCAGCCACTGTGGAGCGCCACAGAAAGCGGAAACACGTCACCACCACGGTAGGCAGAAACACGTGACTTGCAAACCGCGCAAGTGGATCGTAAAGGTTGGAACAGAGTCATTCACCGTTAGTAGGAATCAACAAGTCCGCTTACACTGATCATGCGTTACAACATGGGAATATTTAAAACGGTCATTTTTAAACTTGTAATTTTTGCTCCATGCAGAGAAACACAGATATGTTTGTTTCCTGGCTCTGGTTTAAGTAAGACAGCTGGAGTCTTTAAACCACATTTTGCATTAAAATATGATTTATTGTTGGCATCAGAGATGGAAAGAAACGAAGTAGAAATACTTTGTTACTGTACTTTACTAGACTTTTGGGGTATCTGTCCTTTACTTTGCTACTTTTTAGTGCCTACTTTCTACTTTTACTTTACCTTACTTTATACTTTTGTACTTTAAGTATGTTTTGGAGCCTGTACTTTTTACTTCCACTTGAGTAAAAACATGAGTCAATAGTTTTACTAGAGTATTTTTAAGCAGAGGTATCTATACTTTTACTCGAGTAAAGAAAAATGTGTTCTTTTGACACCTATGTAGCGGTCACTTTCAAATGTATTTGTTTTTTGCTTCTTATTGAACAAATTCACTTCACTACTTTTCACTGTCTGTAACATCAATGTAAATTGTTCCATTTACTGCACATTGCACTTTATTCGTGTCTTTTATTGCCCAGTTAGTTAGTTTAGTTAGCCTTTATTAGATTGTATGTCAATACATACATATGTCACAAATAAAAGTATCTTGTAAAGTATCTTTTTGTAAAGACTTTTCTCCCCAAATCTATTACATGCAAAGTGTAACGTGTTATTTCTGCTGAAACCTAAACTGTTTTTTTTACATGCAAATTGTTTTTATCTCATAATTTCAACTTAATCTGTTGTCTAGTATATTTTCTCTGCTCTGTCAATGTGGTCAAAACGCAATTTAATTTTCGCTATTAAAATCACACGTTTCCGCCTACGGTGGCGCTCCTCACCTTACAGTGGCTAAAGCCAGGTGCTCTTGTGGTTGCCACAATACCGGAAGTATTTACATGTGGCAGGATACCAGTGGTGTAAATACTTATTGTGGCCACTGGAGGGCAGTCAATCTCTGTTATCAGTCTGTTCAATTCAATTTTATTTATACAGCACCAAATCACAACAACAGTCACCTTAAGGCGCTTTATATTGTAACGTAGACCCTAGAATAACAGATACAGAGAAAAACCCAACAATCATATGACCCCCTATGAGCAGCACTTTGGCGACAGTGGGAAGGAAAAACTCCCTTTTAACAGGAAGAAACCTCCACAGAACCAGGCTCAGGGAGGGGCGGGGCCATCTGCTGTGATTGGTTGGGGTGAGAGAAGGAAGACAGGATAAAGACATGCTGTGGAAGAGAGACAGAGGTTAATAACAGGTATGATTCAATGCAGAGAGGTCTGTTAACACATACTGAGTGAGAAAGATGACTGAAGAAGAAACACTCATCAGTCTACACCGCAGTGAGAACTCAGTAACGTTTATAGTTTAGAATATAGTTAATTTTCCTTATTTACTGGGTAGATTTATTTAAATATTCTCATTAAATATCTTATGATCAGTAAATCTGACACTGATGTGCTGCAGAAACCTTTAGAGGAACATTTATATATTTAGCCACACATGGCTTTGATTTACAATCGTCTCCGTCATAATTCTGTTGTCTGTTTTTACTCTTGCACTTTTAAATGTCTGTAAAAAAAAACAGTCCAGCTTTTTCCTGAGAAATGAAACAGAAATTTATCAGCAGCGTCAGCGATGTGCTGAAGTCCAGTTCACTGTGTCCTCTTTGCTCTATTTATTTTCCAAGAAGAGATCCTGTTGCCTGGTAACTTCTGACTGCTTCATCTGGTTTTCACTTTCATCTTTCAAGGAGCTTTCATGAAAAATGAGCCAAACTAGACTGAGAGCAAAAACTAATTCGGCTGGAACAGAAAAAACACCTTAATTTACATAAAATCCCATTAAAATATCACAAAAATATCTTTACATGTTTTTGTCCCGGCTGTCAGCATCATTACTGAATACATTTAAAGGCTGATATAAATATATCATTAATAAAATGTTAATAAAAGGTTCAGTTCAATATCATTAAGACTCCCAAGTTAAGAATAGATTTTAAATGTGACACCAAATACTTAAATGATCTTCTGTGTTATTATGGACTTTTATCTGTTGTCAAAAAAAACTCATGTTTGGAAGTTTCAGCTGGTCTGTGGGGTCACACAGTGCAGCAGGAGTGTTTTGGAGTATTAAATGGATTTTGTCTGCTTGTTCCCTTTTATTTATTATTAGTAATAAATATTAATAATCAATATAAACATGTCAGAGAATCTCAGGATTTTTAATATGCAGGAAAACTGCTTGCAGCAGGATGCAGGCTGCATATGTAGGATACATGAAGTCGGGCACTGTGAGAACGTCATTCAGAGGAACTCGATTTTAATGCTCAGTTCCAGTTGTGTGTTGTTCCCCTCTGTGATGAGAGCGTTTGTTTTAAATAGTCCAGTTTAGGGTTAAAAAGTTCTTTCAGCAAAAGAATAAACAAACTGCAGTTAATACTTTAATCTGCGCCTCTCTTTGATCGCCAAACTGAAAACTTTGATGTATTTTTTATGTTGTGTTGTTCGAACTCAGGATGTCAATAAAACGTTGCCAAAGTCGGTGAAAAGACGTCTCAGTTTATTTATGTACAGATGTTCAGGTGAAGCGATGGAGTACACAGGCTTCAGGGTTCTGACAAACTTCAGACTGAAAAAAAGGAATCAAAGGGAAACAAAAACATGCTCAGAGGCTGTAGGTTATCTACACCTCCACAATCCCGACACGTAACCTGTCCACAAACGTTTGCTTTCAGTATGAAATGTTTCTCCTTTTTAAAATTCCTCCTAAATAAATAATCCGCTGCAGAAGAACAGAAAACACACCTTACCCTAAAAATCACAAACTGGTTTAGTAGTACAAACAAAACGAAACAGTGCATCATCACAACAACACGAATCCGTCGTCGGCGTCTACTCGATCAAAACAAACTCGCCGTCTCTAACCTGCTGTAACTAAAGTTTAATCACACAAAGTAAAGTCAAATAAAACTGAAACTTTCAGCTGCCGTCGATCTCGAAGGCCGATTGTTTAAAGACAAACTTCTGGATTTAAAACCTCTCTGATCCGATGTTTTTGTGACTGAATTAAAGAAATCAGAGCAACAGATGTTATTGAGCACAGGACGAAACGCCCCCACAATTTATTAGCAGATTGGTCACATTAGAAAAAGCAACACGTTTACAGAGAAAAGGATGAGAAAACAGCCGACACAGAAACATTCATGCCCCTCCAACAGATGTGTGCAGATGTTCGTCAGCTCCTCTGTATCTCATGCGTTCTGAAGGTGCTTCTGTGTGCAGACCCACTTTTTCAACGCCTGCGTCAAAACTATGAAGAACGTCACGACGTCACTCGCACAGAAACACACACACACACAAACATTTCCCCTCTTTATCCACTTGGAAAAAAAAGAAAGAAACACAAACAAAAACGACTTCGCTCATGCCAGTTTCATTGTTCCCACAATGAGGGAATAAATTAGCTCCATAAAATGCTTCTTTATAAAAGAAATGTATTGAGTACTGTACACCTCGTCTATACAGCATAAAGACAGGGAGCACGGTGAGAAGGGAAAATTATCTCCAGAAATTAGACACATTCTGGCTCTAGCACCCTTATCCCTCCAACGCACGCCTCAATCTTCTTTATGTGCAGGAGATGGAGCGTCCCTCACTCCACCCGCCGAGGCCGGTTCTTCAGGGAGGAGAGCAGGAACCTCCTTCATGTCGGAGCTGAGCGCCGGGAACGCTCCATCTCTGCCGGGCTCGCAGGCCCTTCCTGCAGCTCCGTCAGCAGCTTTAAATAAGGTCAGTCCACTCGGGGAGAAAAGAGTCCAGCGGGACATCTTTTCATATGAAGAGTCTGTCTCTCAGCCGGAGTCTGACTCACTTGTGTCTGAGGACGAGGACGAAGAGGATGATGAAGAAGAGTCAGAGGAGGAGCTACTGGCGCTGAGACGCGACGGCTGGGTGTGGGTGTCGGCTGCAGGCTTCTCGGCTGGAGGAAGAAAACAAAACAACATCAAGATGTGCTCAGAGGAAAACAAGAAAACTACATTATGCTCCATGGCTGTAGTTTTTGGTCATTTTTCAACACCGGGACCAGTTTAGTCGGTGTTGATAAAGTTTCACATGGACGACTTACGTTTAGTCTTCGTCGGCTTCTTTCCAGAGTTGAGCTGACCGCTGACGTCCATCAGCCTTCTCTCCAGCTCCATCTGCTTCTCCAGAGCGAGCTCTTCCCGCGACTTTCCAGCACTGTTCTTACTCGCTGCAGACAGAAGACGAGAACATCAATGAGCTGGAGAACTTTAACCAAAGATCAACTAACCCAGTGCTTATTCATTTTCTTCCCAATGTTTTATGAGGTTCACTAACTGTAAGGCTTTCGGGGTTTCTTCCTCAGACACGTCATGACGTATCGCTCCAGCTCCCGGAGCGTCGACGGCTTCAG